ACGTTAATTTTTTGAAAAATGAATTCTCAATGTATAGATTATGCGTCATATGAGAATGAATATGATTACCATTAACAAGTCCTTAACTTGGTTTTTCAATTTTTTTTTCTTTTGAATTAGTTAATTGAAGTTAAGTTAGAAAAAAAAAAAAAAAAGGAAGTTGAGGTTCCACCTCAAAACCAATTGACAATGGGGGAGTAGTCTAACTCCTTATAAACCCAGGTTTGGTCTCTTAACTTTTAAATGTGGGACAAATACTCCCAACAGTTATATAATATAATGAGCATTATGTGAACTTAAATCCAAGATTATGGAGCTCTTTGGTTCGAAATTTCCTCAGCATCTTCTTGTCTAAGGTCGGACCAAACGTCCAATCCAAGATTATGGAGAATTCCTCTTCCAACCCAGAAATCAACATGAACATATACGTGCATATGATATAATGGGAATACTAGACCACAAAAAGTATCTACTTTCTTCGATTGGGCCATGAGCTATGACTATTGATCTTGGCGGAGTCAATACTCATCCAAGTAGATTTAATTTAAACAATAATGATAAAATTAACATAATCGTAAGTTTGAGCTTTAAAAGTTGCTTTTTTAAGATCAAATATATATGTATAATCATAAAGATATGATTCCTCACTCTTCCATTTGTATGATTTGTTCAATTCAAAAAAGCAAAGAAAAGAAAGACCTTTAAGCCAACCATGAATATCGTGGTGGCCTTTTTGCAGGGACATCATTATTATTGTTCTACCCCACTTTCCTGGTTACTACTACAAGATCAAGTCAAGCCATCGGCGACGACAAAGATTCAATCTCATCAAAGCTAAGTCGTGTCCTTTCCAACCCATAAATCATAAAATAAGAATACAATGCAATGTGTACACATATTGTCTGACAAAAAAAGAAGCCATAGTATTTCAATATTAATTGTAAGTAGGGATGATAAAGACTGAAAGTAAGTTGGTGTGTAAAGCTAAACGACATGCAAGATTGTTATGTGAACTTGAATCCAAGATTATGGAGCTTTTTGGTTCGAAATTTCCTCAACGTATATCCAAGATTATAGAGGATTCCTCTTCCAACCCAGAAATCAACATCATACAAGAGCACAGGCCACATAAATCATCTGCTTTCTTCCACTAGAGACCAAGTCAATACTTTTTTTTTCTTTTTTTAGCGAAATGGACCAAGTGACTCAATACGAAATCCGGAAACCAACATGTAGATTGTAGCCGGGCCCAGTAGAAAGACTTCAAAGTCAACAAGTCAATGCATAAAGCACCGCAATAAAATCATGGTTACAACGGCAACATATGCAACTCTATAAAATATTTGGACGAGCATTAGAATCCAAATTTTAGCACTGGCTCTCAATCACGTGGATTTTAATATAAATCTATATTTGGAATTACTTCCATATTTAAAAGCATAGTTAGTAAAATACGGGATATAAACAATACGAATAAAATGTTTACACATATTATCTAACCCAAAAAAAGAGAACAAATATAGAGTATTTCAATATTAATTGTTCAAAATTTTAAAGTATAGTTTTTTTACTTAATAATATGTGCAAAGATATGTGTATAATACATGAAGTTTACTTGTATTATTAAAAATTTGGTAAAAAGATACATATATTAAATGTGAATAATTTGTAAATATGTGTATAATACAATCACGATATGCAAATTTTCTAACTAAATTTCGAAAGATTATCCACACCACTAAGGAGATCATCACGTTAATTTTTTGGAAAATGAAATTCTCAATCTATAGATTATGCATCATATGAGAATGAATATGATTACCATTAACAAGTCTTTAACTAGGCTTTTCACTTTTTTTCTTCTGATAGTAGTTAGTTAATTGAAGGAAGTTAGAAAAAAAAAATTAAAAAAATTAAAGTGGTCCGATGTCATATAATTGACTACACTTTTGCTTTTTTGATAGGGTGAAGCATATTGGTAGGTAAAACTAAATGATATGCAAAGTTGTTATTGAAGAAAGTTGAGGGACCTCAAAAGCAATTGGCAATGGGGAAGTAGCCCAACGACTTAGAGCAACTCCACTCATTTGCCCTTTGCCATGGCAAAGGGGGGATTAGGGCAGCTACTATTCACGTGAATAGTGTCTGCCCTTACAAAAAGCAATGTGTGTTTCCACCCATTGTCATGGCAAAGGGCAAATACTATTCATTTTTTGTTTTTTTTCACAAATTTGTTTACTTAAACAATTAATTTGGATAATATTTTTGGGTTCATACATGTCAATATTTATTATAAAATTCATATATCAATCGGATAAAATTTTTGAATAAGATGATAAATAAAATATAATTTAAAAGTGAATAAAATGTTGCGCAAAAAGTGAATACTAGTAGAAGTAGAAGAAAATGTATGAGGATTTAGTGTTGAAAGTGAAGAGTATTGGTAGGTATTTATAGAAAAAAATTCCAAATTTTTTGGGTATTTTTTCATAATTTTATAGCAAAAAAAAGCCCAGTCATTGGATTGGAGGAGAGTTGGCGATCGGAGTGCCCAGACGACAACACATGTCTTCTAGTTGTTGGTGGAGCGCAGGGCTGACGTCATCCCCCCTCGGGCAAGAGCTGCCTTTGGGCCAGCCGGTCTTCGTGGGTCCCGCCTCTAGCTAGGGCAAAAATGGCCCGTTGGAATTGGATTTTTTGCTTGGGCTGCCCCCAGCCTCGGGTTTGGCCTGATTGCTGGAGTTGCTCTTATAAATCCAGATTTAGTCCCTTAATTTTTCAATGTGGGACAAATATTCTCAACAGTTATATAATGTTAAAAGCATTGTGTGAACTTAAATCGAAGATTATGGAGCTCTTTGGTTCGAAATTTCTTCAACATCTTCGTGTCTGAGGTCGGACCAAACATCCAATCCAAGATTATGGAGAATTCCTCTTCCAACCTAGAAATCAACATGAACATCTACGTGCATATGATATAATGGGAATACTAGACTACAGAAATCATCTGCTTTCTTCGACTGGGCCATGAGCTATGACTAATTGATCTTGACCAAGTCAACACTCATCCAAAATCCAAGTAGGTAGGAAACCGTGTAGACTGTAGGAGCCCACTACACAAGATAGAGCAAACTTTAATGTCAACAAGTTAATCCCTAAAGCAACATCACAATTTCCACAATGTTCATAGTCTCTCAATCCGACATATCAATATCCCATTGCAAAAAAAAAGAAAAAGTGTAGAGTTTGCTTCTTTTGGTTGTTAAATATTTAAAACTTCGAGTTTTGGGTTTAACTTAGAATAAAATGCACTAAGAATTTCTGGATTAAAATCTGGTGGTTGGGAAGTAAGCAAAAGTACTACATGCATGATTCAAGTTGATATTGCACTAGCGTATTAAACCCGCTCTTTTTTTCTTCTTTTTTTTGGGAGCAACAAAGCCTACAATTAATATGTTATTTTAATTTTTCCTTTTAGTATGGATAAACGCTTAAATATTACATATTATAAGTTTAGTAAGAATTAGTTGAGAACTTGAGATATGGTCCCCAGTAAAATTAGTTTCGTTCAACAATAAGAACAAATCAAGCCTTCTAAATCCAATTTCTAATATACACTGACTCATTCCAAAAATACAAAAGAACAGAAAAAACACTTAATTTTAGCCAGCGGCAAGGGAATGAAAAATATAAAGAATTCAAACTAATGTGCTAGCTATAGTAGGGTAGTTAGGAACTAATGGTTCTTATAGTTTTAGCAGTTTGAATCCAATTTCTTAAAAGTTGCTTTTTAAGATCAAATATATATGTATAATCATGAAAGATATGATTACTCACTGTATTATTTGTATGATTTATTCAATTCAATAAAGAAAAGAAAAGAAAGACCTTTAAGTCAACAAGTCAAGCCAACCATGAATCTCGTGGAGGCCTTTTTGCATTTTCCTGGTTACTACTACAAGATTAGGTATTGGTTCGAAATTTATGTGAACTTAATATAATGAACATTATGTGAACTTAAATTCAAGATTATGGAGCTCTTTGGTTCGAAATTTCCTCAGCATCGTCGTGTCTGAGGTCGGACCAAACGTCCAATCCAAGATTATGGAGAATTCCTCTTCCAACCCAGAAATCAACATGAACATATACGTGCATATGATATAATGGGAATCCTAGACCACTAAAAGTATCTACTTTCTTCGATTGGGTCATGAGCTATGACTATTGATCTTGGCCGAGTCAATACTCATCCAAAAATCCAAGTAATTAAGAAACCGTGTAGATTGTAGTCGGGTCCATTACACAAAATAGGGCAACACAGTCAATCCATAAAGCAACATCACATTCACATCACAATTTCCACAATGTTCATAGTCTTGAGCTATGACTATTGATCTTGACTACCGTGTAGATTGTAGCCGGGTCCATTACACAAGATACGGAAAGACTTTAATGTCAACAAGTCAATCCATAAAGCAACATCACATTCACATCACAATTTCCACAATGTTCATAGTCTCTCAATCCGACATATCAATATCCCATTGCAGTTTGAATCGAATTTCTTAAAAGCTGCTTGTCAAGATCAATATATATGTATAATCATGAAAGATATGATTACTCACTGTATTATTTGTATGATTTATTCAATTCAAAAAAGAAAAGAAAAGAAAAGAAAGACCTTTAAGTCAACAAGTCAAGCCAACCATGAATCTCGTGGAGGCCTTTTTGCAGGAACATCATTATTTTTGTTCTATCCCACTTTCCTGGTTACTACTACAAGATTAGATATTGGTAGAAGACTTCAAAGTCAAGCCATCAGCGACGACAAAGATTTAATCTCATCAAAGCTTAAGTGGTGTCCTTTTCCAATTCTATTCTACCATGCATATAATTATACATATAATGATATGTATATATTAAAGACAGCACAACCTTTCTTTCTCATCAAAACTTTCCCTCATCAGCTAGCGTCTCTCAAAGTAAAAGGTTTTTCCAAAATGAAAACTTTGCTGCATTACTTGTTCCTCTTCTGCTTCAATATCCTCCTCCCTGCAGTTCACAGCCAGTGTATTAAAGACCAGCAACAATCGTTGCTCCATTTGAAGAAAAGCCTTCAATTTGATCCATCTTCAGGGCTAGCCCCGCTCATATCTTGGGATTCAAGCACCGACTGTTGTTCTTGGGTTGGTGTTGCTTGCACTAGCAATGGGCATGTTGTTAGTCTTGACCTTAGCGCTGAAACTATCTCCGGTTCAATTCCAGGATCCTTTGCCAACTTTCCAAACCTGAGGAAGTTGGACTTGAGTGGGAACAACATCTCCGGTACAATTCCAGGATCCTTTGCCAACTTTTCAAACTTGAGGGTGTTGGACTTGAGTTCAAACAACATCTCCGGTACAATTCCAGGATCCTTTGCCAACTTTCCAAACCTGAGGAAGTTGGACTTGAGTGGGAACAACATCTCCGGTACAATTCCAGGATCCTTTGCCAATTTTTCAAAGTTAACTTCCTTGAGTCTCAGAGGTTGTCAGTTGAATGGAACATTTCCAAAAGAGATCTTTCAGGTACCTACTCTACAAACTATTGACCTTTCGGGTAATTTTAAACTTGGTGGTTCCTTGCCTGAATTTCCCAAGAATAATGGATCTCTTCTATCCTTAATTCTATTTGAGACAAACTTTTCAGGATCACTGCCGGACTCCATTGGCAACCTCAAAATGTTGTCCACGATAGATCTTTCATATTGCAATTTCTATGGATCAATCCCAAAGTCAATGGAAAACCTAACACAATTGGTTAGTTTGTATATGCGATCGCAAAGGTTCCATGGTCCAATAGATTCTATTCACTGGGAAAATCTTATTAATCTGCTAGATCTCGAGTTGAACGAGAACCAATTCGAGGGGAGTATTCCATCGTCTCTTTTTTCTCTTCCCTTATTGTCACTAAACCTTTCCCACAATCAATTCTCAGGTGAACTCGCATTTTCTAATGTCTCTTCCAATTTAGATACCCTCGATTTAAGCTTCAACAATTTGGAAGGACAAATATCGGTGTCTATATTTAATTTTGGAGGCCTTGATTCACTTTCTCTTTCTTCCAACGATTTCAATGCCTTTCCGTTCAATGGCCCTCAACAGCTGAAATATCTTACGGACATCGACCTTTCAAACAATAGCTTGCTGAGTTTATACAATGGTACTGATTCCTCATATTCCTCATTTCCTCAAATTCTTTCATTGAATTTGGATGCTACCAAATTGAGAACAATCCCATATTTCTTGAGAAATCAATCCACATTATCCAGTTTGAAACTTTCAGAAAACCATATACAGGGCAAGATACCCCATTGGATTTGGAGTTCCAATCAACTTGTTTCCCTAAATCTTTCTTGTAACTCCTTGGTTACTCTGGAACCTCCTTTATATAATCCTACGGTGGAAACTGTTGACCTTCATTCAAATCAACTTCAGGGACAAATCCCCAATTTTCTACCATTTGCCAAGTATCTGGATTACTCGAGAAATAATTTCAGCTCTATACCATCAAATATTGGTGATTTACTCACAAACACACTGTTCTTCTCTCTTTCGAGCAATAACTTGCATGGGCTCATTCCAACATCAATATGCAATGCCCCAAACATTCAGATTCTTGATATGTCTAATAATTCTCTGAGTGGCATGATTCCCCAATGCTTGACTGCAATACGCGATATCAGTGTACTTAACTTAGCGAGAAACAACCTCACTGGAACTATTTCTAATGTTGAAGTTTCTGAAGATAGTTCATTGGAAATTCTAGAGATCAGTAGAAATCAGTTCGGTGGCCAGGTTCCAAAGTCTCTAGCTAATTGCACTAAGCTGAAAGTTTTAAACATTGGAAACAATAATATAACAGATAGCTTCCCATGCTTGTTGAAGAACATGTCCACCTTGAGTGTCCTTGTTTTGCGGTCCAACAACTTTTATGGAGGCATTGAATGTCACAACACCAATGGCACCTGGCCAGAGCTTCAAATCATAGACCTAGCTCACAATAATTTCCGCGGTGAAATACAGGGAATACTTTGGAGAACATGGCAGAAAATGATGGTTACCGAAGATGGTTTCCAATTGACAGTCAACGGCCATGAGCATAGAAAGATAAATCCGGGTCAGTATAGAAGGAGCAGTGTCAGAAATGAGAAGGTTTCTTTGGACTTTTATTATGGTTTAATTATAACAGTTACCAACAAAGGTTCAGAGATGACTCTGGTAAAGATTCTATCTATCTTCACCTTGATTGACTTTTCATGCAACAATTTAAGTGGACCAATACCTAAGGAAATGGGAGAATTGAAATCACTACATATCCTTAACTTGTCCAGAAATGCTTTCACAGGCGAAATCCCATCCTCATTTGTTAACATGGGAGCACTCGAGTGCTTGGACCTGTCACAGAACAAGCTGAGCGGGCACATTCCACAAGAGTTGGGAAAGCTTACTTTCCTTTCGTTCTTGAATCTCTCAAATAATCAATTGGTCGGCAGGATCCCAACCAGTACTCAGTTTTCAACATTTCCAGAAGCCTCCTTTACAGGTAATAAAGGACTATGGGGGCCTCCTTTGACAGTGGATAACAAAGCAGGATTGTCACCACCACCAACAGTGAATGGAAGGCCTCCAAATTCTGGACATCATCCTGAGGTTAATTGGGATCTTATCAGTGTCGAAATTGGATTCACATTTGGCTTTGGAGTTGCCATTGGGTCACTTGTGTTGTGCAAGAGATGGAGTAAGTGGTATTACAGGGCTATGTACAACATCCTTCTCAAGATATTCCCTCAGTTGGAGGAAAGAATTGGTATTCATCGAAGACATGTTCACATAAATCAAAGGTGGTGGAGACGTTGAATTGAGTAGGAGGAGCAATGCAAGTTTGGACTGCTTCTTGTGCTTAGGGTATTTTAAGATCCAAGAAATAAGAATTGTGCTGTCCTTTCTAGTTTCATATTTTAATTTAATTATGCTTTTTTTTTGGTGGTGAAGAGTCTAGTTTGTTGTGGAATATCTAGTGTGTATCTTTTATATTTTATTTTATATTTGTGGAATGTAGCAAATATCGCAAAAATTGTGATTGTATGACTCTGTCCAGCCAGCAACAATCAAGGAGGGCTTTTCCAATTCTACCAAATTTAAGTTTAAATGGAATTAGAACGTTTGCCAAATTGATAACACGAGACTAAATTGACCGGTATAGGTAAAACTATAGGAATTATTTTAAACTATAGGAATTAAGTTTTAAATATCAATAATACTATAAGCACTAACTTGTATATCAACTTTTACATACCAACTGATGTGGCATATGAGATAGAGTGCCATATCATGTGCCACATCATCTCTTTTAATTTTATTTTATTTATCATCTTCTAAATAAAATTCATTCTCACCATTTTAATTCAACCTAACCACCAGCCTCCATCGCCACATTTTAATTCATTAAGAAGTTGGTTTCATTTAACTCATAAAATTGTTTCTGTTTCTTCTTCTCTGTTTAGTTATTTGTGTATCTTTTGGCCTGTAAAACACTATCGATTAAAGAAAGAGATGTACAAATGAAATAAACATAAAAAATGCACAACTGAATCTGAAATTTCAGATCTGATCCTCCATGGCTATAAACTCAAAAGATCATTAACTATGAGAATCCAATCAAGGAATAATTAAGGTCTTTAGACCCAAATTGGGGGCATATCCTCCCTCCCTTCAAATATGGAAAAATATTGTTGCTTGGTTGCATATCCATGGAACTGAATCCGTGGTGCCATATCATCCTCTCTATTCCATCATAGTATTTCCCCAAATCAACTTGGAATTTCTAGGCCATGGGTAACCCAGCAAAAGAGAAAAGCCATATCTGTGGGAGCAAATTTCCCCACGAGAATATTCGATTGGAAAGATTCTCCTTTCTTCTTTGCCGCCTCTTTTGCCATGCAAAATAGAACAAATAAGAGGACCACACATAGGGGATGTTGGCCAAAGGCCCTATGATGCCTAAATTAGTTCAATTGAATCGTATAGAAAACAATAGCTAATAGGGTACGGAGATGTGTTTATGATGTAAACTGGGCGGCCGGAGCCTTATGTAAAAGAGAGAGAGAGAGAGAGAGAGAGAGAGAGAGAGAGAGAGAGAGAGAGAGAGAGAGAGAGAGGAGGTGGCTAGGGTTTGTAAGGGAAGATCTCTATAGAGTTTTAGTAGTAACTAGCAAAGGAGCCCGCGCGATGCTGCGGGTTTTAAAATTGTGTGAAATGTGTACAAAGTTGTTCTAATATGTAGGGAAAATGGTACTATTTATATAGACATGAAGATCTAAATAGTTGCATCATGCTTTGTTTAGCAAGTTTAAGTTACAACAATGTAAACATATCCTAATCATATCTCACTGCATATTACAACAACAGTAATTGAATGATCTATTTTGATCACAGCATAAAAACATAATCAATAATCTAAATCAAGCACGTGGACGAAGAAATGATCTGATAGTTCCTCAAAAAACGGCCATATACCACAACCTTACCAACTGAAAAAGACAATTGGCGCAGAGCCTGAATGAATGGCATGGATTAACTGTCACCTAACAATAAAGAAAATAATTAGCTCTTACATATAAACACAGAAAAAAAGCAATGAGTCAGATAACGTATCTATGTTTTAACTATCGCTTACCCACAGTCCCACCCAACTCTATAACATAAACATCAGGGGTGGCCCTGAGGGTATGCAAGTGGTGCCACCGCACAGGGCCCTTGATTTTTTAGGGGCTCCAATTTTTTTTATGTGTATAATATATGTTTAACAAATGTTATATATATATATATATATATATATATATATACCGAGTGAGCAAATTGTTGACACAAAGACGTTCCAAGTTGTGTTGGTTTGTAGGGTCTCAACTTCTATTCAGGGCGCGACTTCAAAACCCGCTTGTGTTAAAGGCTTGTCTGATGTCAACACCAACATTTAATATCCTAGCTACTTTCACAACCACAAACTGAAATAATAAATACCCGATCACAAGGAATTAGTCCGTAATTATGCTCAGATATTCAATTTTGCAAAAATAATGCATCCAACTAAGTCAACCAAAATAATTGCATCGAATTAATGATGACAAAGACTATTGATACAAATTAATTCTTTTGTGAAATTTCAAATTGGTCCTTGGGAGTAAGGGTACTTTGGTCACTTTAAGAAAAAAACCATTTATTGTATGGCATTAGTTAGTAATTATGCTCAGATATTCAATTTTGCAAAAATAATGAATCCAACTAACTCAACCAAAATAATTGAATCAAATTAATGATCTTCTTGGAATATTGATACAAAATAAATTAGGTGTTAAAAAATATTTAATATATGAATATGATCTATGATGACAAAGACTCATTGTTACAATCATTGTGATTATTCAAAAGGTGTAACATCCCTGACACAATTTAATCGATTTAATCCAATTTAATTCTTTTGTGAAATTTCAATTTTGTTCTTGGGAGTAGGGGTACTTTGGTCACTTTAAGAAAAAAAAACATTTATTGTATGACATTACGTAATGGTGTAAGTTTGTGTTAGTTTATATGAGGCCCTAATTTAAGGTTCGTACATGGCTTTCAAAATCTCAAGACCGGCCCTGATAAACATCTGCATGGCCCTCTTTTCCATCAACAGGAATGAGAGAAACTGATTCAATCCATGTCTTAATGGCATTGATTGTGCAACAACCTAAATCGAGTCAAACATGGCAGGAAGCCAGCCATCAGTACTCTACGCAAGTGAGAGAAAGAAAAAAATTAAAATAATAAAATTATGAATTCATTAACATTTGTAATTTTGTATTATCACCTGAATAGTCTTTCCAAGGTAATCGCCTATCCCCTCCTTATCCAGCAGACTGATTTCAAAAAATAAAAATAAGGCAACCCATTAAAAGAAAATATCAACATTTCATGAAAGGGATAGATGTTAGGAAAATATAAGCACACACACCTGATATATCTTTCCGGTGGTAATGTTGTTGTCCCTAGTAAGAGTTACATCTAGGAATCGTTTGTAGTTGCCGAGGTCTAAATCAACCTATTATGATTAAAAGTTTAGACTCAGGTTCAGCAACAACATAAACCATAAAGATAGTATTTCAGGGGCAAGATGCTGTGTTGGCACTGGTTATGTATGTATGTATCTATGTATGTGTATATAAATATATATATACATAAAGAGGGAAAGAAGTCCAAAGCGAAATACCTCTCCACCATCATCGAGAACAAAAACCTCGCCATGTTCAAAGGGATCTGCAAATTGCTGAACCAAAATTAAATTAATAAAGAAGAAAATTGAAGCATTTAAAGTAGAGAGAGTAAGAAAAGAAGAAGAAAACTGATTTTGATTGAGGTGACGCGAAGGCCACAGGCAAATCAATCAGGCAAAGACCAAAAGGGCGGTCCGATTTGCAACACACCGTCCCAAACGGAAATCAACGGCCCCAGATTCATTCTCAACAGCGAAGCCAGATCTTCCCACAAACGAAATTAATGGCCGCAAGAAAGCCAGATCAAGTTTTAACAGTGAAGCTCTCATCCACGAAAAAGCCAGCCCAAAAAGATCTCCCATCCCCTAAGAATCCCAACCAAAGGCAAAACTGGTTAGATTTTTCTGACACGTCATGGATAAACAGATTATTAAGTTTTACAAAAAAAATGTCTATCACAAAATTTAATCAACAAATCATAAACTCTAAATTCCAACAAATCAAATAATTATATATAGTCATCTATAATCCAACAAATCATTATCCACACACAAAATCATCAATATTCATCCAATCCAATAATCATTATCCACAAACAAAATCATTAACATTCATCTAATAGCTCATTATAAAAATTTCAACTAACTAAAAATATTAGGCATTATCATCAATTAGAGATTTAGAGTTTAAAAATTACTTGAATATGAACTTTTCCAAACCAATAGATTAAAATCAGAGATGGAGAGGGAAGAGAATGAAAACCTGGAGAAGTAAATCAAGACCGCAAGCCAAATAAATGAGGCTCGAAATGCAGCTTCGAACCTTTTCTGCCATACACATGAACTAATCAAACCAAACAATCACATCAATTAATCAACAAATCAATTTTTTTTAGAAACAAATTTAATTAAGACAAATGAACAAACAGTGGCAGGAAAAGAAGTCTATCACAAAATTTAATCAACAAATCATAAATCCTAAATTCCAACAAATCAAATAATCATATATAGTCACCTAATCCAACAAATCATTATCCACACACAAAATCATCAATATTAATCCAATCCAATAAATCATTATCCACAAACAAAATCATCAACATTTATTCAATAACTCATTATAAAAATTTCAACTAATTAAAAATATTAGACATTATCATCAATTAGGGATTTATAGTTTAAAATGACTTGAATATGAGCAGTAAAACACTTAATGAAAACAATAGACTTATGTTTTGGAATAAGTCCATTGCATTATGTTGTGTAATGGATGGTTTACTTGCAGCTTTACCATTAAGAGAAATATATCACACAAACACAAATACCAAATTCAATGGAAGCAAACAAACAGAAAGTAAATAGGTTTCTACATATTTTATACAGTGTTAAATCAGATTTTTTTGTTTGAATGATCTTATATTGAAGCAACCATCTTTACCTTCCAAGTGAAAGACTCTTTTCTGAATACTTCAGCTAGTTTTTTAATATATAAAAAAGTGTAACCAAATAAAGTAAAATTACCAGAGCATTCATAGCACCGGCTTTGAAGCTATGGTGATACTGGGTCTCTTCTCTCGAGCCAAATACACCAAAGTTGGCAACCCACACCCTTCAACATCAGCTGCATTGGGGTCTCTCCCATCAATTGTTATCTGAGAAAAGAAAAAATTTGATCAAACACCAGTTAAATTTGGTAAATGGTATGCGGTAGTGTAGACAAATGAGAAGTTTTTGGCAAAGACAATGGCTATTGTTATAGAATTAAAGCCAAAATAAACTACACAAATCAAAATTTAAATAACCTATTAACACCTAATGACCTATAAATAGAAATAAGATAACGTAATGACCTACGAGCAAGTTTGCTACTGAATCAAGATAACCTAAAGGAGAAATAAGCTATAGAAGCAGTTATGATCTATAAACAGCAATAGGTTATAGAAATATAATAAAGGCAGAAATAACAGGCTACATTTTATAGTTTTTGTTCATTACATTTAAAAACATCTGATAAGAATTGTGAATCTTACAATGCACACAGTTATCAACTTCACTCAATAGGACAAAGACTCAACCTATTGCCTTTATGTCGTTGAGTTTGCATAGAAACGCAAGTGATTTCAATAAAAATTACTAATCTTATTAATTGGTTGATCTCAAATGGTCTTATAAGCACAATTAGTGAATTGCTACCCACAAAATAATAGTCAAACATTTAATAAGATGAACTGTTCTGTTTTTTCGGCCATTTCCTTAGCAAATAGAGGGTAAGTAGGTTTTTACATCTTTTATATAGCCTTAAATCATATTTTTTTTGTTTAAATGATTTTATATTGAAGCAACCGTCTTAACCTTCCAGCTGAGAGATTGGTCAATTAGTTCAAAATATTAGCTTTAAATCATATTTTGTTTACATGCAAACATATATTAAGTTCAAAAGGTTCATTATCCACATGCTCAGATATAGAGAGATGGAGAGATTTTGCTTGCTTAATAAGAATAGGTAAAGAAAGTAGGAGAAATAAATTGTATACCTTGAAATTCTTTAACTTTGAGGCTTGTAAAAGTTACAAATGTAGGTGGCACTAACTGTTGTAAAGCCTTTACATTGAAAGTCTTTGCTATGTCGCCCCACAAAGTGACTCTAATTTTCCCGCTTCTGTATCAACAGAGATATAAAAATAAAATAAAAATTATTCTAATAAGAGATGTAACATTTTGAAAATTTATAGATGTTTTGTTAACATTTATACCTAATATTTTCAATGTGGATTTCACACTTTGTTTCCTTGCGTTGTCAACCATTTTTGTTTTCGAATCTTGTGGTGCAGTGATGTGTCCTAGAACATCTTGCAATTTAACAAAATAGTATGATAAGATAATTAGAATGTGTAAAAGCTGAAATACTGAAAATGGCATTAAAAAAAATTTATTTGTATGTATATGCAGATTGTTACTTTTTAGGATTAAATCATCATTTATCAGAGAGAATAAGTTGTTGTAATCAACAAAATAGAAACGGTGCCCTGCATGATTGAAAAAGGGGGAAAAAGTTACAGACAAATAGACCACAAAACAGTAATTCATTCTCGAATTTTAATCTATCCTGTGATCTAAAAAGTAGGATCTGGTAAATAACAAAACAACATAAGCAAAAGATGAATCTACTAAATTAAAAGCATTGACGATTAATGAGGAAGAAAACTATTGTAGATTAAATGAGTTGTTTAAGTATGGATATACATTTAGTTGAATGCAATCAGCATCCTAATTATAAATATAAGGCCAAATTATCAAAAACGCCAAAGATTAGATTGTAGAATTAACAATGAAAGTTTATCAATAAGACTTGTGTTAAGAGTCAAATATTAACGTTTAAAATATATAAGAAGTTTGTTTATATAATTTCTACTTCAAATTTATTGCAATTTGTAATAACTCATACAATTTAAGAAAATGCATTTGAAATAACGTGTATGCCACACAAAAAACCCATTATTTTCTTCATGGCCATAAAGAAAATATTCCTTTAATTGAATGTGGTGAATATTCTAAATGTAGATGAAAGACCAAAATTATGGCAAATGGAAAGGTTAGATTGTATAATTAACCATAAGAGTTTATTAATAAGACATGTGTTAACAGTGAGATATTAGTGTTCAAGCAAATACACAATTCACGTATATCCAGTTACTGTTTAAGTTGAAATAGTGTAAAGGACTGATTTTCTCACCATTGCATCAACCAAGATGCATTGCAAACCAGCAAACTGATCATCAGATCTGAACACTTTTGGTCTCCAGGTTTTGTGCACACGCACTCTAATTTTCACGCCGGATTGAAAGGGGTGCAAATTGTGGATTGGAACAGTGTTCATTGTGCCATCAATCTGAAGAGAAAAAATATATGCCCTTGGTTAGTATAAAGATGCATAAAATAGAGCAACGTTTAATCATGTATGAATGGAAGCTGAAACCTGATAATAAATTTTGGAGAACATCTTTGTACACTATGTTTTTAGTGTATTTATTTGGCACTTCTTTATTATTATCTATTATGATTTTGAGGCCTTCTCTAGACGTAGCTCTAGATAACGCGACATAAAGCTATCCATGAGTGAAAACAGGTTGGGGAAGATATAACCCAACTTGTTTTAAAGATTGACCTTGACTTTTGTTTATTGTCATAGCATAGCATGACCTAATTGGGAATTGGCGCCTTTTAAAAATGAAAGGCCATTTGTTTTCTGTTGCTGAAAGAATGATCCTAGGTATAAACACTTTGTGGCCAATGTGGCTACCAGTAAGTATTTTTGCTTCAATAACTCTATCAACCATTTGGGTCACAACTAATCTTGTTCCATTACATAAACTTGAAGATTGATTTAGGTTTCTCAATAACATAATAGGCATGCCTATTTTTAAAGTCAAACTATGTTCAGGCAAACCATTGAATTCAAGTTGATTGAGAAATTCTACGGGATACATCATACAAAGGTTTTCAAAATTGGTTGATGATGAACATAAAGAATCTGAGCTCAAATAAATGCGTTTTTCTCCTGGCAATAAGTCTATTGCGTAATTATTTATCTTTGTCACAGTAGAATTCCTAGCTGTAATAATGGCTCGTTCCCTTAAATAAGCAAAATCTGCAAAATTTTTGTCAAAATATGGGTAAGTTGCCAAAAAAATTGATTGAATAGGATCCACATATGATTGAATGAGTAAATCTTGAGGAATTTCAATCCAAGGTGCCTCTTCATCATTTGGATCGTGAATATCAATTATCTGGCCATTTCCAATTCAAAGAATCCAAGCATCGAACTCACTTATTTTCCGTTTTTCTTCACTATTCAATCCTTTTTTTGATAGTCTCATGTTTTCTTTTAAACTGAATATTTTAAAATAAGGCCATAGGTAAGAGCTATTAAGAGATGCATCTATGATTTCTTCTCTCGTTCCTCCTGGAATAACTGGCAATATTTGTCTAAAATCATCACCTAGCAAAAAAGGCTTGCCACCAAATGGAGCATTTTGATTTGAATCATTGAGATGCGATAAAATATCTTGAAGTGATTTATCTAATGCTTCAAAACAATGTTTATGATTCATAGGAGCTTCATCCCAAACAATCAGTTCAGCCTTTTCAATCAATCTGGCAAGATGAGTTGTCTTTTTAATTTGACATGTTGAGGAATTGGTAACAATTAAGGGAATCTTAAATCTAGAGTGAGCTGTTCTACCACCTGGCAATAATAATGACGCTATTCCTGATGAAGCAACAACTAAAACAATTTTGCCTTCAGATCTAATTTTACTTATTATAGTATGCCACAAAAAAGTTTTTCCAGTTCCTCCATGCCCATGAACAAAAAAAAGGCCTGGTTTTTTCTCATTCACAGCATTAATCACAGAATCATATACATCTCTTTGGCATTTGTTTAGCTGTGTTATCAAAATTGAGTGTTCTTTTTCTAAATGATGAACATCATAATTTAACTCTTCTCTTAGCAATTTAATTCTAATTTCTGACATTTTATGTTCATCAGGCATAGGAAGATAATGATCTTTTAAAGAGCTAGATGATGCGTTAAAAAGTTGTTCTAATTCAAACAAAAGTGAATTTTTTAATTCAGATTCTGACAAAATAAGATTTGGCATTAGAAAAGCTTTTTGTAGTTTGTACAAAATGTCATCACACATATTTTGCCAATGAGTATCAAAAAGCAATTGAGGATTTCCTACATCACAAAACAAAATGATTGTAACAAACAATTGTCTTAGTTGAGAACATGAGGCTGTGTCCACAGCATTTTCTAAGGCCTCAATCCATTCTTTATCATCTCCTAACAAACCAAGGAATTTGCATGCAGCTTGATATGACGGATGTATGATACCATCAATAGTTTTGATGTGATCAAAATCTAAGGCACCTTTTTGCAAATTCAAAAGCATTCTCAAGTAATACAATTCACCTGATGCAGGATGTACATAGGCTATTCTACCTATTCATCTCCTTTTTTTCCTAGGTTTCCAAATTTTGTTGCGAGAATCCCATACAAATTTTGTAGGGAATTCTGCATAAGTCAATGTTCGCGCTTCAGGAAACATTTGGTTCGCTTTAAACCAACTTGTTAGCATTGTATCTTCAATACCCTTTTGGCTAACAATTGATTCAAGTGATTGATCACCATTGAAAACAACATTTTGTTCTAAAGGCAAATGTATTGATAATCGTTCAACAGCAGGCTCTCTAGAATGAATAAGGTACTGAAACAATCTCCAAACGGCTTCATATGTAGATATGTATCTACAATTAAGATAAGCTAATATCTCATCTTCTGGCTTGTCTTGAAAAACTACTCTAGCTCTATCTGAACATTTGTTTATATATTTAAAAAGATATTTTATAAGCATTGATTGACAACATGATTCAACATTTATGTGAGCGTTGTATCTCAATAATAGTTCTGAATTGTAAGGCACCACAAAGTTGTTATCAACCTTTATTCCATTTTTTAGCACAAATTTTGTTGGATCTTCACGGCGCCTATATGTAGGAAAACCATTTTTTTCAAAAACTGATTCACTTTTGTATTGTTTGGGAAAAGATTTAGAACACACACCTCCCCGCATGCAAGGAGAATTACGGTTAATTTCCCCGCAAGGACCGTGATTCATGAATTGGTTCACAGCATCATAAAGCATAGGATCCACATCCTTGTCTGGTAATTCAGCAGAAATGATGGAATCTATATCTACTGCTGAGAAGCACTTATAACCTTGTTTCAACCAGACCAACATATGACAATGAGGTAATCCTCTTTTTTGAAACTCAACTGTGCAAATTTCTGTTTATGATGAGGGCAACAAAAACAAAAAATAAGTTTTATTAAAAAAAAACCTAATGAGAAAAGTTTGGGCAGTTCTCAATTTGGGGAAGCTGTAGGGAAGGGGGTCAAAGTTGGGTTTTAAGTGGTTTTTGTTAAAATTTAGATTTGGGGAAGAATTGGTGAAGCTACCATAAAAAGTGAACATGTGAACATAATATGTTCGTATCCATAATTAGCGTCAGTAGATCAAATAACACACAGGTACCACCTATTTAGTATTCGCACCTTTGCATACCCTGTAAAACAGAATTATAGAAGGGGCAGGAAGATGAAAGAGGCACATTCTAGATAAAGTACAATAAAAGAGAATGATAACCTGGCTAACTGGACCCATTTTTAAGTATGTTCTGAAACAGT